TCCCTCTCCTCCCCCGCCGCCTTCTTTCCTACGCCCCGCGCGGAAAATGAAATTAGGAAATGAGCAATAAAAGGCCTCTCTCTCCCTCTCTCTCGTTCTCTCTCTCGCCCGCTGGCTCCCGGCTGCGGCGGCGGCGCAGGCAGCCGGGGGAGATCATACGTCATTTACGGACGGAGGTCTTTCGCGACGGTAGAATGGCGAAGGGATTCTCATTGTGCAAGCGAGATCTCTAAAGAGGTCCAGCCACATTAATGTTGGAGCAGTGTCGTTTTAACGACCAAACACGTTCAAACATCAGAAAATTGAAGATACGTATCATTGCTTTTTAAATGGGCGGGGGATAAAAAATCGACTTTACTGCACCGAAGAGACGACAAAGACGCCAGGGCCGCCTTTCCAGGGAAGTGCTGCTTCGGACCTGGGCTGGGAGGACGCGCTCGCAGTCCACGCGCTCGACAAACTCAACCACCTTGACGACGTGGTAGACGGGGAGGGTTCGAGGTCACAGCCTCGCGACGTCGCGCGGGCGTGGGGTACGGGGGAGGAGGAGGAGGAGGAGGAGGAGGAGGAGGGGCAAAACACTTTCCTCTGAACCGCTCGAGGGGGGGCGTTGCTGTTGAGCCCGCGTGAAATTATTCTTCTTTTTCGTGTTATTGTTATTATCACTGGAAGGCCATCGCTATGTGCCCGACCGAACCGCACGAGAAACAACTCGGCAAGAATCGGACAGAAGGCGGACGGCCACGCGCCACGCCGCCACGCCCCGCCCCCGCCCTTCTCATAACGCCTCAGAGGGGGAAGGGGATTGGGGAAGGGGCCGGGCGGGGTGGTAAGCCTGATGGCAAAGTGTCCCAGATAATGAAAACGGTGTTACGAGTCCCGCCCGATGTTCGTCCCTCGATGATTCACGCTGGTCGTGGTCCCCGGTTGGTCCTCTCGATGGTGGTGATCCCAGGATGGTCCCCGATGGTCGCCGATGGTCCCCGACCACCGCCAATCCGACAGCCAGTGGCGCAGCGCCGATGGAAAAGCTATAATTGATTTGACGCCGGTCTCCACTGCTTTTGGCCGGTCCGGGTGCCGTTCAGCTCGGTCACGCACGCGCGTCAAAGGTCCTTGCCTTTTTGTGTTTCATTTCGCCTGTCAGTGGGCTTCACGATGTAAATTTTCAGCAGGGTAATTGCCCTCCGTATCCTATTATTTGGACATCGACCTCTCTCCCTCCCTCCTGCGCTGCGTCACGGCCATGCGACGCGATTACTCATTGTGGTACGCGAGGAAAAGTTGTTTTGTTGGTGTTGTTGTTGTCTTTTCTTATATAAAGCAATACGAGGAACGGCGGGGACAACCCTCTCCGCCGTAAGTGAAGTCGTCGGGAGTGAGACGGATCTCGAGGCGGGCGCGGAGCAAGAGAGAGAAGGAAGGAGATAGGGCAGGGCACGGGCGGGGCAGGTCGTAACGCCGTGGTGGCATCTGCTGCTCGTGGCGGTATTAACTCTATTTGGGCGGGAGGTGCACTGGGGCGGGGGGCGCGGCCCGCGGGGGCACTGCAGCTGGAAAAAGGAGCTGCTGCTGCTGCTGCTGCCACCCCCGCTGCTGCTCCTGCTGCTGCTGCCGCCACTGGAGTATAGAGAGCGTAGTGGGAGGGCAGACGCGCGCCGAGTGCCATCTGCTTACTATTGCATTAGTTTCGCGGGTGAGAGGCGAAGCACTCTCTCTTCCTCCCAGCAGAGACACACTAAGAGAGGGGAGGGGGGGATAATATGCATAAACTTGCATTGAAAGTCCTAGGCAGGGTGTTCTATATTATATACTTATTTGGCATCATCCTTCCAACGGGAGGACTGATGACAGTATAATAAACAAGAAATTATTAGAAGGTCAAAGTTTACTGTATTTTCTGTACCCTACCGTAACTCACTCTGCCCTAAACCGAGCCCTAAACCAATAATTGTACAGAATATTTTTAACGCAAATCGTTTTAGAAATTATTTTAGAATCCGCCAGTTTTGGTGATAGGGCTAGAAAATATTCAGTGTGCCTACTTTTATTATTCTAATGACTCTTTCCATACTCGTGTGTGCTCCTATCTCGTCCCGAAGGATATTGCCGAAAAGGTGAAAATAATTCCGATTAAGTTAGCACACCCTGGTCCTCGGCTAAAATTGAGGGTGGTTACCTTGCGTAATACCCTGTACACTAACCTGGGTATTAAGTACGCAACGCATACAGTGTAATACAGAGTAGTCTGTTCACGTTTTCTTGGAGTGAAAAACCCCCTCGGCTAAAATTGTGGTGTAGGGAAATTAGTGTGTTGTGTTTAGTTTTTCGACGCAGATCCCATAGCTCATTTTATACAAGTCTTGTTATTGTAGAGAGTCGTCTTGTTTTATCTCAGACATCGGACAATAATTTTAGTCAGTGCATGCGCCCAGAGGCAGAGAAGCAGCTGCCAAAAAAGAGAAGAAAATGAGATGAGAACCAATTTAGGAGAGAAGGCTAAGGCTAGGCAACACCACCACACACGCCTTTTTATATTCACCCCCATCATTCGGCAAAGTGAAACGAAAGAGTGTGTTCCATCATACCACACACTGCCCCAGCCACACCCCACCATCCTCACAAAAAAGGCTCTCCCCCCCCCCTCTCTCTCTACCTCTATTTCTCTCTCTCTCTCTTCACCGGCCTGACCTATTCACTGCACGGTCAGCGTACATCGCCGCTGGCTCCAATAGATCAAGGTTACCCTTCACATTTACTTCTTTTCTAAAAATGTTCACATTGAAAAAACAAGTGTGGTATCCAATGCCTTTTAGCGGCATAGTGATACAGTGCATTTACAAAGGCCCTACTGACCCCAAAAGGTGTTATTTTCAGCGAGTTTTGTCCCTTTTCAGTCGCAGTAGCACTTTGAAAAAGACGTTTTATAGCAGCTTTGTTTTTCCATTCATCCAAAAATTCTGGGCCCATTTTTTTTTTTTTTTCAATTTTGGCGCCTCATTGCTGGCGACCACGGTGCTGTCAAAGGGCCCGAAACCTCCCTCCCACTCCTCTCCCCCTTCTGCGCGCTCTATGGCTGTAACCCCCCTAACCGCCTCCCCCCTCCCCTCCCCACGCTCCTG